TCTTTTAGGGATAAAGGCACCTTTTAAATCAAAGCGTCCCAAGGACCTGTATTTATTGAGACTACTCACAAACACTACACTCACTACTCCAACAATGACATATGTAGTTGTTCGATTACAGACCTCTCTACTACTGGGACCCTTTGCGCAGACGGTGACGACAGCAGTGCATTTACTCTTGCAACCTTGCCCCCACGACCGAGGTGCCTATTTTTGATCATCCAACATCGCCTTGCACCTAGCCTTGCTTGTCCAGTATCCCAGAAGAACTAAAGGCACACCGTGGGTGTTGCATAAAGGTTATAGTAGCCCGAAAAGGTTAAAGGTTACCTATAATTCTGCGCCAAGGTAAATACCCACAGGCCCCAAAGTAGTTCCTGTTTTTTGATTACCTTATAGGATTCTAGATACGAACCCCAAAAAGGAACTACTTTGGCTTTGGGGCCTTATAACAGCCATTAGAACCCCAACCTAAAGCAGACACCTGGACTCAGCCGGGAGTCTCAGGGACCCAAGGACAGAACCCCAATCAATGGTATCCTCCACTGCAAAGGACCCTGCTTTCAGATATTCCAGCTACACAGCCCTAAACCCTATGATCCGCTTGCGTGAATAGTAATCCCCAAAAAGTTGGAAGCCGGATTAAGGCCAAAAACTGCTGGGATTCACTACACATTACTCTTAAGGATCGAGGCTATTGGGTTTCCAACTTTTTGGCTTCTACTGTAAACCCATAAACCCAAAACCCGAAACAATTTCATCTCAGAGGCGGTCGAAGACAAACCAGATCTGGATGGGCTCCTCGCGCCTTGCACATGCATTGAAAATCAGGAAATAATAGGACATTTGGGGAGTTACATCACCTGAGGAATAGGATGTTTTCTATGTGGTAATGTAGATTGACAGAAGTTGGGCTACTAGTTGTGATTATTGAGCTATATCAGGGCAAATTCTATATGGTAGTGTAAGGATAATTCCTACTATTTGGGCGACGGCGATGTAACTACCCAAACTGGGCAAGGCCATGCAAGGCCTATCCTAACTAATTCCCCATGGAGCCCCAGTAAAGATGACCAATGTTCGAAACACCCTCGTCCCGTGGCCTTTTGGGAAGGCCGACTCGACGTGGATCCCTGCAGTCAGGGTGTGCAGTTCGGTATTTGGGCTTTAAGGCTTAGGGATTGGGGTTTATAGGGTTTGGGGTTTAGGGATTGCGGCTTAGGGTTTGGGATTTAAATGATTTGGGGTTTAGGGATTAGATTTTGGGGTTTAGGATTTAGGACCTTGATTTTAGGGATTGAGGTTGAGGGTTTGGGGTTTAGGGCTTCGGCTTTTTGGGGATTGTGTGTGTAGGCCGATCATCGGAGCTTTGAAACTGCGGCTTCCGTGGGGCTTGCTGGATCTTCGAAGGCTTTTTGGGACCCCTTTGATGTTGGAACCTGATTAAGAAACCTTCGGCCTTTATTAGGGTTCCTTATATGAATCCTACTATTTTAGGGGTTATAGGCCCCGGGTTTCTTAATCAGGTTCCTACATTACATCAATCCCCTTGCCCGGCAGTCATCTGTCCCAGCCTGGCATCCATCCGAATCGTGACGTGCTCAGGCCCGGTTGGCTTGTCCTGCTTGCGAAACAGAAAGCAGTTGCGTTAAGCAAGAAAACCTACATCAAGCATGTGGAACCCGAGACTTCGGAGTTAGCTAAGGATAGCAGCAAGCAGCAAGCTCTCAAACATGACGTTCCGGTGGACACTTGCTTTGAATAAATCGTGGCTTGAACTCTGTCAAAGAATGTCCTCCCCGCCGCTGCTGTCGCTGCCCGCGTTGCCTCACAGGGCAGCACTTCCCAGAGCCCACTGAATAAGCCCGACCCGGAAACTCCGAACTCCAAATTTCCCCGGAGACTGAATTACAGTACATGTTTGGATGGCCAAATGTATGGCTTGATGGTTAGCATTTAGGATCCTATGGTAGTACAGAATATCCAGCAAGAATCATACCACAGCCTGCGGTGCAGGTAAGACTCGAAGTGTGAGTCAATTTACGTATGGATATTGATGGGACCTACACGGGTAGTTCTGTACATTAGTGTTCCTTTAGGTCCCCAAAATAGTACGACACCGTAGTGGAAAGAACTTAGCCTAAGCCCTAAACCCTAAACCCCTAAAGCCCTAAACCCTAAACCCCTAAACTCCTAAACACTGCAAGGACCCCAGCTTAGAGAACTATCCACATGGCTTCGGACTCTGGACTAAAGTCTGTCGCGGCCTTAATCCTGAGCCCTTAACTTGGCCCTAGACCCGGAACCCCAAAACCCTATGAACTTCGGGTATGGACTCCGGGCTCTATGCAGAGGTTATGAGCTTTGGGGATCGGCGATCAAGGCCGACTGAGCCAGAGTCAGAGGGCCTTCATAATTTGAACGGCGTTTTGATGAAACTTATGCTGTACCTCTCATGCAGCCGCCAGTGAATTCGGCTCTTGTTATTTGAACGGTGTGTTGGTTGCTTAAGCAACCGCCAAGGAATACAGCTCTTATTACAAATGGCCCTATGTTACCCTCAGGCCAAAGAAAACCCCCTAAACCCTAAACCCTAAACCCCAAAACCCTAAACCCTAAACCCCTAAACCCTGCAGGGCTTGGGGTTTAGGGATGACGACTTAGTGTTTAAGGTTTAGTCTTTACCCTAAGGCCCCAAAGTAGTTCCTTCTTGGGGGCTCGTATATAGAATCCTATAAGGTAATCCCAAAAAGGAACTACTTTGGGGCCTATGGGCAGGGCCATTGCAGGGTTTAAGCTTCAGAGTTTGGGGTTTACCTAAGCCCTCTAACCCCCAACCTGCCTTCCGAAGACCTTCACATCAGCACCCTAAACCCTATGAGCTCTAAGCCCCTGAAGCCCGGCCCTAAACCCCTAAAGCCCGTACCCCATAAGCCCTAAGCCCCAAGCCCCGAAGCCTGAAAGTGATGCCTCAAGCCTGATCCCCCAGCATGTAGGGCCACCAAAGAAAGCACATAAGCAATAATCAGGATAGAGATATATCCCACAAAACCCCCCAACCCCCTATAGTGAAGCCCAATAAGCTAGGGATATCCTTAAAAGCCCGAAATCCTGAACCCTAAACCCTAATATGCTTATGCTTATGTGCTTTTTGGGACCCTAAATACAGGCGTTTCCGATTATTCGGGGTACTTTGTTTTGGAGTCCTTATAATACGGATCCTACTATTTAGGGTATTACATTAGGGTTCCCCATTTTCGGAAACTCCCATAAATGGGGCCCCAAAGCTTGGGGCTACAAGCCGAAGCGGCTGCCGCGATCGGAGCTCCGTCTCCGCCGCACGCGCAAGCCGGTCGGAGCCTGCCACGATCGCTTTTTGAAAGGGCCTAGGGTTTAGGGGCTTAAGGGGTTCTATAAGGCCTTCCTTAAGACTCCAAGTGTGCAGTCAGTACCTACATTGGGGTTAACCCTAAAGCCTGACCCTAAGGCTCAAAATAGCCCAAAAGCCGTATATAGTATGGTCCTTGGGCTCAGAAGCCTTAAATTATGAGTCCTTAGAGTCTCACGGTTAAAGAGCCTGCATCTAGGAATCCTGTTGAGACTCTGAACTAAAGGGGTGGTGATTAGTTTAGGTTGGATCCTATCCCTTAGTAGATTCGTAAAATTAAGAATACGTTGAACCTCCAGATATGGTCTTAACCCCGCTGCCTCATCGGCTTGCAGTGACCGACCCAGAGCGGTGGGCACAGGAATGACGCTGCTTGCATGGCTCATGGCTCACAAGACTCTGAACCCTACGCGAAGAGTCTGAACATTGTAAAGTACCTTAATTATGGACAAAAACCCAAACACTGCAGAAGCCTGTCCTTGTTGCAGTTCTAATATAGTTATTATGAGGCCCCTATTATTCTCATAGCTGATTATACAGAGACTCCTACACAAAAGATGCCTCAGAGTCATGGGGATGAGGCTTGGGAGGCATGGCTTATTGAGGGCGGCACACCCTCTTCTATGGCTTTAGGGTTTAGGGTTTAGAGTTGAGGGGCCTCAGGCTTTCTTGTTCTTGGTTGTCAATGTTTATATAGGCTGAAGAGCGGGCTTGCAAGAATCATGGCGCTCGCAGTGCTACAGAGGGTTCGGGAGGGTTGGAGAATGTCAGGATAAAGCTCTCATGAGTTTAGAGCTTAGGGTCTCTAGGGGGTTTTGAGAAGCCTTCAACCCTAAACCCCTGTGCCGTGAATGTCAAGGGGAACAGAGAGCTCGGGACGAAGCGTCTGGCACTCCCGACCTGGTGGTGTGACGGTCTAGCCCACAGACTCCAATATGCCTTAATTAAGGATTATTCCTTAAATTATAGTAGGATCCCTAATATGATTTAAGGAATATTCCTTGATTAAGGGATATTGGAGTCTCTGGGAAGGTTCCTGTAATAGTGGTATAATGGGAATATAATAAGGCCCCAATATAATCCTTATAGTCACTATTACAGGGTGGGGGCAGCTTCTAGGGTTTAGGGTTTAGGGGCAGTGCAGAGCTGAACTAGTCAAGAGCCGGTGGGCGACAGCAGATCTTCTCTCCACCCCGGCAAAGATCAAGACGCGAAACCCCGTAGAATTGGGGGTTTTGGGGAACCCTGATGAACAATATTGATTAAGTATGCCCCTCAACTATAGCCGCAAAAAAAGCACACTGACTCAGTGACTCATCTCTCCATCATAGGGTTCCTGCTTTCTGTTCACGAGAGCTTATGTTGCTGCGGTGTTAGGGTTTCTTCTTTAAAGTGCAGTAGAGCTCTTTCTCCATGTACAGGTTTAGGCGTTTAGGGGCTTATGGATTGATTCAGGGATTAAGGAATAAAGGATTTAGGGTTTAGGGTCTTTGACTTTAGGAAGGCTCTGCGGGTTCATAAACCCTGCAAAACCCTAGCCCTGAACCCTAAAAATCCCTAAATCCACGATCTGAGGAAATCCCACCAACCCAGAAGCGGCTGAGCACCGTGCAGCTGCTTCTCTCTAGCCTCCACTAGCACTGGTCCGGAAAGTTCAGGTGATGGAGGTTGCACGGTTTAGGTTTTAGGGTTTAGGATTACAGCACATGCCTGCGGTCCGAGGTGTGAGGGGAAACGTCTCCAGAATATTCAATGGTTCGTGGGCAAGAACCTAGAGACTTTGGGTGTGCAGTACGTTTGTGTAGAGTCTGTGGCTTGCTGTGTGAGGTTATTTTATGTGTATGTGAATTCATGTAAGTTTCTTATGGGGTTCCTTTTGCACTGACTACCTATGTAGGTTTCTATAAAGTTGTTCTTTACGGTTCATGTAGTCTTATGTAGGGCTTTCAGGGTCAAGGGTCATGGGCTTGGGCGCTAATGTCTGCAAATAGAATACTTTCAGAGTTCCCTGGACCTTAGACTAACGGTCTTCCAACAATGGGAGGATTCCGTACACCCAACAGTTTCAAGTCAATGATACATTTTCAGCGACTGAACCCTAAAGACCCTCAAGAATATCCCTAGATACAGCTCGGCGAAGTGTTCCCGCGCATGTCCGCACGTGCAGCGCGACGAGCAGGACTCCATGGAGTCCTTCATGACACATCGCACATCACCAGCTGTCTTCGCGTGGCTGGGTACCCAGAGGCCCCAAAGTAGTTCCTTTTCGGGATTACCTTAAGTATAGGATTCTATATATGAAGCCCAAAAAGGAACTACTTTGGGGCCTCTGGGTAAGGACCAGTACACCCCGACGGTCAGCGAAGTGACCTGCCAGGAGGCTTGGGGTTGCCAGAATGGCATGATGCAGTAGCCCTGGCAAGGAATAGGGTTTAGGGTTTAGGAACCCTAAACCCTAAACCCTAAATCCTAAACCCTATCCCTAAACCGACCAACTTCAGTCCGAGGTATAGTCGACCAGGGCAGCCGAGCTGGCTGCTGCCTCGCCCGCCGATGCATGATGAGCCACGTTAAACCCGGCTCTTTCCTCGGGGCTACAATATTTCGGCCGCAAAATGCTGTTCAAAGAACAGCAGTTGCTTGTGATAGGATTTCAGCACAATTTTGCCATAGACTCGCACGTAAAGTTTGTCAGCCGAAGATTGAAACGCCCTAAAGGTCCATGTACGCATAAAGTAGATACTTTGGCCCTAAAGTACCTATAAAGGGGCTACATTAAGGCCCAAGTAAACACTACTTGGGCACATGGACCCTTATACCCTCGACCCTATAAAACCCTCATAGTCCCGTTAAGGAAACCTTAAAGGAATCCTTAAAGGAACCCTTAAAGGGGTTAAAGGGACCTTTGAAGGGACCCTTAAAGGAACCCTTAAAGGGACCCTTGAAGGAACCCTTAAACAGATTCTTAAAGGAACCCTTAAACAGATCCTTAAAGGAATCCTTAAAAGATCCTTCAAGGAAGCCTTAAAGGGACACTCAGATCCTTACTTGGAGGTTCATGGGTAGTTATAAGTACGTTCATACGTCCCCTGATATGGGCTGTAAGTACAGTTACCCTACTTATAACTACCCATGAACCTCCAAGTTCGGAGGCCTCACAAGGTGGGATGAAGGTAGGTGGGGTTAAGGATCCCTTATATAAGGACCCTTATTTGAGAATATCCCAGCTACCTTCATCCTACCTGTTGAGGCCCCCGACAAGTACAGGACGGGGGCCCCACCTTGATCTCCTTCTCGATTTCGGACTTCGCGGCGCCCTGGCAGCGGCTAGAGACTCAGCTTGGGAGGGTTTGCTTTAGGGTTTAGAGGTTAGGATTTACGGGGCATGGGATTTAATATTTAGGACGGTTTAGGGTTTAGGGTGGTTTAGGGTTTAGGGTTGAGGGTCTGAGGTTAGCAACCTGGAAGTGCCATAATAATCTACTTTCTCGCAGCTTTCTTATACATGCTATCTGAGGGTCCTGCGACCCTCACCCCTTAACCTGACATCTTTCAGCTCACCCAGAGGGTCCGAACTACCTTAAGGGTGATATTTGCCTATATGTGGTTCCTTTTTAAATGTTTATAGGGTTTAGGGTTCCTTTAAGCGTTTGCGGTTTAGGATACTATGTGGGGGATATCTATCCAAAGCCCGTGAAGGTAAGTCCTACTCTAGACACCCTATGTTTGCACTATCGAGCTACTTAAGACCCTTTGGGTCGGGTAGGCTTGCCTTCCTGTCTCCCATTGCAGTCGTACTGGGCCCAAACAGCCTCAACCTGCATTACCCACCACTGAGAAACCGTACGTCGTCAGAGTTTAAGGCTCAAGGTTTGCAAGTATCATGGAGTTAGCTCGTAAGAGCTGTTGCATTATCTTCTAATCACAAAGACAGAGGGATCACTCTCTACTTCTTTCGTAACGATGGATAGGACGGATAGGATCCTATCAGGAGTGAACAAGCGAAACAGGCCAATAAAAGCAAGAGGCTACACTAGAGCAGTCGGGTAAGCCCTAAACCCTATATGACTGAATCCCTATGCCCCCAGTAGCCAAAGCCTTGTGAACTTCCAAAAACCCGGTTGACCCACAACAAGAAACTTGTGCAATAGCCCCTTCCGCTTTTCGTGTTGGAACGAGCATAAACCAATTCTCTTAAATACCACCCAGGTTCAGCAATTAGTATGGGGTCTTAAATAATTCCCGCGTCTTTAGTATAAGTCTAGGCGCCTCCTTGCCGGCCAGCTTGCCATCCAAGTCCTTCAACTTGGCGTCGATCCGGTGCATGGCCTCTACCTGCAGGGCTTCGCATTTAGCACCAGAGAAACTTTGGGAGCAAGGTTAGCTCCGTTTGGGCCTGCAGAATCCATTGTACTTCCTTTTCGGGATACCCATGAGGATACTGGATAAAAGTGAATAAACCCAAGCAAGGAACTACAATGAGGACCAAAGGCAGGGTTCAGGGGTTCAGGGTTTCGGGTTTGCAGTTTGGAAGAGTTCGAGAGTTCTGTGTCTAGAACTTAGGTCTTCAAGCTTCTTTATTAGAAGAACTAGAACAGAGGTTGCGCATTGTTGCTGAACACTAGGTCACATTGTTGATGGACACTAGGTCACACTTTATATCTGCTGGATTGTATGTTATATACGTCTACTTCGTGTATTCATTGCCGTCGTTGTCATTACTACGGTTCTCATACTGTTATGATATCAATAACAGTAGTTCAAAAGATTTTAGTACTATTGCTATGTAGTACAACTATTGTTAGTATTGGCTCGGGAGTCCATGTACATGCATTTGTTTAAGGTTCGGGGGTGGAGTGCCCTCCGAAAAAACGCAACGGTCCAAGACACAACACCAACACCTCTACAAAAACCCTTCAATGCCTGAATGCAAAGGCAAACCCTGCAAATCTGCTACCTATGACATACTATGCTGCAAAGTGTAAGGCTGAGGAGAACCTAAGTCTGAAGGGACAACCATGCCGAACACCTGAACTCCACATCAAAGACCTGCACTGCCAGAAACCTTGCCGCTAGGCACCTGCTGGGGTGCACGGTACTTCACCTGGCCGGGCAAACACATTGTGTTCATGGGTGTGTGTTTGTGTGCGTGGTGGGGGGGGTGGCATGTATGTGTATACTTACACATCGACATGTGTATGTATAAAAGTACATGAATACAGGAAAAGATATATACGCACATGAGAGAGAGAGAGAGAGAGAGAGAGAGAGAGAGAGAGAGGAAACTTTTAATAGCATCAAAAAACCGTACTAAGCTGGTGCATAGGGTGCTGGCATAAAGCCATATGGCTTGATGTCTCATGTTGTTGAGGGTATAGGCGGTGTTGGTTAAAGAGTTTGTGTAGCAATGTAGGAACCCAGTTAGGGGTGCCCAGTTTTCTGCATACTTAAAATGTTTTTGTGTACACATGCAATTAATCTGGAGCCTAATACAGCCCGACGACTGTGTCAGGCAGGAAGCACGGTCTGTGGGTTCTGAGAAGTGCAAAGCCATCAGAACAGACTACCCTGAGCATCCCATATTGATTACAATCAATCAATTTCGCAAACAGATATTGATTTTTTGCGCAGCGTCAAAAATCAATATACCGAAAACACTGCATATTGATTAGCATATTGATTATCATATTGATTAGCATATTGATTAGCATATTGATTAGCATAATGATTAGCATATTGATTAGCATATTGATTAGCATACTGACTAACATATTGCTATATATGTTGTTTTGCAAACTAATTTATATAGCTAATATGCATAAAAATACATATGAGTATATATGAAAATATGTATATATGTGTGTGTAAGGCCTTGGGTATAGAAGACTGTAATGTAGAGGTGTGGGGTATAAAGGTGCAGGGGTAAGGGGCTTTGAGGGGGTTAGAGGCAGAAGGATTTAGGGCTATAGTGGAGGTTCACAAACATCGGGGTTTAGGGCTAGGGGGTTTAGGGGTAAGGGGCTATAGGGTATGGGATCGTAGGACTTTCGTGGGCAGATGGCTTTAGAAAGTCTAGCAGAAAGCGAGGTAGAATGAGAGAAAGAGAGAACAAACGAAACGGAAGGATAGGGAACGAAGAGAGAAGAGAGAAGCGACTAAAGAAAGAGATACAGACAGAGAGGCAGAGAGAGATAGATAGAGAGACAGATCAAGAACAACATAGAGAAGGCGAGGATAAAGTGGCAGGAAAGAGAAACCTAGGACAAACCAAAGAAATAGAAAAAAAAGAGAGAGAGCGAGAGAAGGAGAGGAGCGAAACAGAGACAAAAGGGAGAGAACGAGAGAAGGACACAAGGAGAGAAAGAACAAGAGAGATAACGAGAGAGAGAGAGAGAGAGAGAAAGAGAGAGAGAGAGAGAGTTATAACAAATAAGTTCCAAAATCACAAATCGCAAGTTGTGTAAGAACTCAGATCCCAAAATCACAGATCGCAAGGGGTGTCCCCCTAAGGTCTTGTGAAAACTCAGATCAGAAAACCACAGAGCGCAAGGGGTGTCCCCCTAATCCCTGCGAGCCGCGACCGAGCAGAAAGCCTGTAAAACAACGGCCAGG